TTTTTTTTATAAAGAGTTGAAGTTGTAGAATAATTTTTATTATTACACAATTTATAAAGATGATAGAGAGCTACTGTAATTAGGTGAACTTAATGTGAAATTAGAGTATAAGTGTTTAAATAGAAAATAAACTCTTTTACTCACAAATAAAATCATCTCTTCTCTGTTTATCTTCTTTAATTTTCTCACACCCCTTTCTTAATTACATATATCAAGAAATTAAACTGAAAATGTAAAACAGAAAAAAGAATTAGAATTATATGTTACTTGTGACTTTTTTTCTTTTGTACTAGAGTAAATAAATAATTAGCCAGTAAAAATCCTCCTATTCCGGTAATCCAACAACTTTTGACAAGATCATTTGGGAATAAAAGCAACAAACGTACGTTAGACCATGTAAACTTGTGGTGGAGTAGCTACTCTTCCGTTCTTAATTATCGATTTTTGGATCAAATCGAGGAAATAAAGTAATTTTAGTAGGGATTGATTTATTCCACTTCCCGATGAAAATCCTGACTAATGAACACCAATAAAATAAAATAAATAAATATTAGTGAGGTATAATTATTGTTCTTTAGATCATAATTAAGCACATGATGGTGACCAATCTACTAGGTTCCCGGTAGAAAAACTCTAGAGGAAACAAATGTATCTGATCGTAATTTGAATAGAAGAAAATGATTTTATAAATAATCGATAATAACGTTTATATATAAGGTAAGATTATATAAACGTACCAAGGCGTAGGCACCGGCAGCAACAGTGCCAAGTTTACCGATTTGCTCAAGATGTTTATGGTGTTTAGTTTCTTTTTCGTAGTCGACGGGGCCCTCCTCCGCCTTGTCCTTGTGGTGGAACAGGTGGTGGTGGTGTTTCTCCTCCTCCATCAGATCGATTCTTATCACTATGAAGAGAAAGTGTATGGTGTTTGATACAAATATGATCTTGTCAAGTGCTCTATTTATAATTAAAACTCATTCATTCACTCATAGTCCAAAATAAATTATTGTGCCATGAGGTGGCACTTTGGTAGTCATATCAACTATTGTATAATTTATATAGTTTAATCGTGTAAAATATTTTTTACACTATTATTTGTTGGTTTTTTGAGCATTTTAATATTTTTTTATTATTAAAATTGTCTCATAATTTTGCCATAGGCTTAATAGCCATTCTGCCACAGTAAATATTCATTAGAGGAAATGGGAGTTGTGGCATTACAATTGTTGCCGTTGGAGGACTATCCCTTTTGATTGCTGCAACCTTAGGTATTACTGCCTAATTACTCACTTGTGAATCAATTCCCTTAGGCACTATTACCCTTTATTTGATGGTTACAAAATGTTGGAAGTTACTGTTAGTGGCAGAAGGTGGTCAACCATGACCACTAATTCTTTTTCATTCAATCTCCATTATCATCCATTATTATACCTTGTAACCTATGTAACTTTTAAGACCATTATCTTCACTATTTACTACACCATTTATCTTCTTATTCATTGCTAGGAAGACTTCTTCTAGTATAAATCGTGGTGGTCTTCATTTGGTTTGGGATACACAACATACAAGAGAAAAATATAGAGTGCATAAAGTTTGTCAAAAAGAGAGTTTTTATTAGTTGAAGGAAGATGTTCTTTTTTGTAGAGCTTTGGACTCAACTCTTGTCCAGAGTTGTTGAGTTATACTTTGTGAATGTTGTTGTATCCTAGAGGGGACAAGTCAAAGAGGACTATTGCTGGACCAGTGAAAAACATTTGCTACAGTGGGCTTGAATCTCCTTAAAGAGAGCGAGATATCCACGCCTCAACCTGAAGAGATTTTTGTTTCTTATTTTATTTTTCAATTGTAATCTTGTAATTTTATTATTTTGTAATTTTTCACTAACATTATTACCTAAAGATAATGACAAGACAACAATATAAAAAATGAGTGAAATTATTAAATTATTGAGCTAACTTTTAGAATTAAATTAAGTTCAATTATTTAGTATGATATTAGAGTCAGACTACTGATGTTATAATTTATCCACGTCATGGAGTACAATGTCTTGGGGGTGGGGGATGGGGAGCGTGATGAATATAGAAAGAATCTCACATCAGAGGTGGATGAAGTAACTTGGGCCCTTACGTGATCTTGAACAATCTTTTTTCTATAATCTAATTTTTAGGGTTGAGTTAGGTCCAAAGTTCATTTTAAGTGTAAATAATTTTTTTAACAACTCTTTCACTATTGTTCCATTGGCTGAATGCCATTGCAGATGAAAGAGTACTCAACAGATTTTAATTGCTTAGTTACCTTTAAACTATATTTTTCCTTTTCATTAATTCGATATTAATTATCTTTCCCAATTGCCAATCGCCATCACGTTTTTCCTCCTTAAGTAGGAGGAGGTGCATAATTAGATAGATTAGATTGTGAATCATCAACCAAAATATGGGATTACTTAGAGATTAAGAATAACAGAACACATGTGGCATAGGAGAAAAACAAACACGATGTCCCTACTACAAGATGGAGATGTCATGTAGCTGTCATTCAAGTCAATTTTATGTTTTGCTTTTCTCATTTCAGTTTTCAAAAAAAGGAAAAACTACCTAATTAAACATATTTCACTACCATATATACTATTATTATCTATATTTTTAAAATATTATATATCTTACCACTTATTAAGAATTTTCTACGTATCTTACACTTAGATACATATATTTTTGTTACCAGATACACAAAAATAGGAAGAGAAGCGAGCGATATTTATATGTATCCTAAATACATGTGAATCACACTAGATACATGTGTATCTGGAATGATTCGCATGTATTTGGGATATCAGATACATGAGAGAGTGGCGAGCGAGATTTGCTATGTATTCTATATATATGTTAATTAATACACTTGAATATAATGTATTTAGAACAAATTACACCTAAATTTGACCTCATGCATCAGATACATGTATTTGGACTTATCTGGAGACACCAAAGTTTGGTAAGATGCGTAATATCGTAAATTAAATTGTATCTAAGTAATTGACTTCTAAAATAATGAGATTTATGTAACTCCCATTTCAAAAACTTCTTAATTATCTTTTCAATCTGAAAATGGACTTATATTTTGTTATAATAAAGATATCTTGCAACAAATGGCGCTTACTCATTCTATATAATGGGCGGAATTATGTGCACCAAAAATGTACAGACAGCTTGTACCACTAAGTTAAATGATATACAAAAAATATATATACGTATACGATTCTTAGTACTCCCACAGTTTTATCTTTCTGTTCATTTTTACTTATTTATAATTGCACGCATTTAAGAAGTTGGAGTGACTTAATGCCTTTAAAAATGAGGCATCCGTCTTAGGTCCCAAATTTGAGGGCCCCATTTTTTAGTAATAATAAAATTATTATGTTTTTTTTTTTAACAAAAAGAATTATATTGTGTCTTTCTTTTAATTCATTTAGGAAATTAAAGATTGTTTTTTTTTTTTTTTGTCAATTTTTAAGTTTAATTGACACATGACATGCTTAAGATCACAAGATTAAAAAATATTTGGTATATTATATTATATATATATATATATATATACACACACACATATCTTTACGTTAAGACCATAAAATATAATTTTTTTTTCCAAAAATAACTTTGCATTTCAAAAATAAAAAATTATAAAAATTTAAAAGTTATGACTGATTTATTTTTGGCTTTAGGCCACTAATGAACTTGAGCATCACTGTTAATAAGTAATAAATGAAGTACACATTTTTATCATTATACACATATTGGTTGATGTTTAGTCTTTAATAAACTTGAAAAATATTTTAGAAGTTTTAAAACTGGAATTTGAACAAGTTCTACCGATGGACTCAATAGCTTTAAGAAGTTTCTTTGGCAAAACAAGATTTTGAGCCCAAAAGTTTGAATAGAGCGCAAGAAACTCCTTGTAAGGTTCTCAAAAAAAAATTTCAACAGACACTCCACTCAGGGAAGTAGAGCTCAAACTCAAAGCCCCTACGGGAAGAGCAGAACTCTCTTGTAAGAGAAATGACATTAAAACACCGACAAACATAAAGACTTAATCAGATGAACCCTTGGAGCATAAGTCAGCAAATTGGATGTCGAATAAGTGAACCTATTCATCATTGCATCAATCAAGAACATACATTTTTGCATGAGAAGAAATTATTTTTTTCTTATTTGATCTAATAAAGTGAACAAGTAAAAATGAGAAATTATTTTTAGTATAGTGCATAAATGAAAGCGAACGGAGGGACTTTTTTTTTTTTTTTAAACACTTTTTGGCCATCAGGCCATTTTTATTAAAGAAATGCCCATTGGGCTATGTTCAAAAGATGGACCAAAATTGACCCAACATAAATAAAATAAAAACAAAGCAAATAAATTCTATATCTAAAAGCACTAAAGTGAAAATTGAAATGACTCTTGGAACTCTCCAGAACTCCATGGTCAGCCATTTCCTTTTCGATTTTTGTCCTGGTAAGGACCATTTCTCTTTTGAGTGAATGTTTGCCTCTTTGTTCAGTCCCCTTCTTTCTCTTCTTCTTTTTGTTGTGATTCTCATTTTCCATTTTTGTGTGTTAATTGCAAGATTGATGTTGGGATCCATCGTTTGGTACGATCAGTGATCCATATTCATTGGATACTTTATGTCGAGATCCTGTGACTATTGGATGAGCTCTGTCTGTTGGGGTTTTCCTGTGTTTCATTGATTTTTCAGTAGTAGCATGAACCACCACTTCTATTTGAGTTGCTTGCTTTTTGTGTTTACCACTGTGGCTCACTGTTTGTACTTGTGTGTATGCCCCTATCTTATTGTTGTGCTTTTGCCCATTTTCATATTATTATTTTTCCTTGGTACTGCAAAATTGAGCCAATTATTAGAAAAAATCAGTTCCTCATAATTTGCCTCTCTGAGGATTTGAAACTGAGGAACAAATTTCCTTTGATGCACCTCCTCCTGCTTCTGATATGTGTTTATTTTCTGCATTGTCGGATTCTTAGATATGGTACCACTAGTTTATCACTGTTCACTATTCTCTTGCCTTGAGATTCTAATTCTTGAAAACAATTCACCTGAACAGTCCCTTTCTCTAGAGCTAGGTTAGCTAGGTAATCGGCTAGTTTGTTCCCTTCTCTGAAAATGTGTGATATAACCACTGTTTTTCCTTGCATTAGCCTCCATATTTCCTCCAGAATATTCACTACCTTCCATGGTACTTTCCACACTCTTTCCACAATGTTTTTAAGTAATAGAGAATCAGTTTCTATAATCACCTTGTCTAGTTGTGTTGTATCTATGTACTTCAAAGCATGTAAGAGTGCCATTGTTTCTGCCTGTGTATTAGTAATTAAAGGTTCATCAATCTCCTTAGCCTGAGCTTGTATGACATCCCCTTTATTATTTCTCACACAAAAACCCCAGGAACTTCTTCCTGGATTTCCTTTTGATGCTCCATCAGTGTTGACTTTAACCCAACTAGTATTTGGTGGTCCCCAAATAACTTTAGTTACCTTTACTGTTGGATTATAGTTGTGAATAGCCTCTACCACCATTGTCCATTTGTATGGGATGTACGTGCAATTTCTCCTCCTAGTTTTCATGAATAGAATCAATGTATGCATAATTTGATAGATCACCTTGTTACTGGAGATTTTCTTCCCATTTTTTAGTGTGTTTCTCCTTTTCCACAATTCCCACACTATGATAGAAGGGACAGCCTGAAATATATACTTAATCTGGTGATGTGCATCGATCTCCCACCATCGATTAATAATTTGGGATAGCTGCATGTTCTTCATGTTAATTCCCACTGGCCCACAGAAGTGCTCCCATACCATTTGAGCTATGGGGGAGTGTAGGAATACATGAGCAGTGTCTTCTATTTTAGAATTTTCACAACAATAGCATCTTGATATACAATAACATAACTTAACTTGCTAGTCCAAAACTTTTACATTACAAATCTTTGGCCCAAAGTTCAATCCGGTATACAATAACATAGCTTTGATATACAACAATATACAAATGTTTTTTATATTTTTTTACAAAAAAATCTCTCCATCCTTGATCAGATGTCTCGGGTTCAAGTTCTGAAACGTAAATTAATTATATTAGAGAATGTTTCCCTCTCAAATAGGCTTACACAATACAAATCCGAAATGATTAGAGTGCTTATGTAAATATCGAACACCGTAGAAAAATAAAACAGAGTAATAACCTATTATATCTTATAAGTTTATATTTAGTTCGATCAATTAAATAGTGAATTATATTATTTTTAAAAAGTAGAACAATATGGAATTAGTCAAGATGAAGAGTCCTAAATAAGGAAAAATCACACCATATACACATTTAAGAGACAATATTACGAGTTTTAAACCTACTCTTAAAAAATTCTTACTTATAACAGTTTAATTACGGGTTATAACATATCAATTAAATTTAACTTTATTTAAAAATCAATTAAAATTTACTTTATTAAATGATTAATCTTTTTATATTTTATATTATTAATTATTTAATTATATTGATTGCAGTTCCTTTTATATAATTAATAGGTGAGAGAAATAATATTAATGAGAGAGAATCAATTTGTAATTATCTATTACACCTTTTAAGGAATTTTTTAACTTATTCAAATAACTTTTATTTATTAATGACTATTGGGGCCTTTAATTTTAAAAAAATAAATAAATTTATGACCGTATATTTTAACATGTAATTTTCTCTCTCTTTAATCTTATCTTTTTGCTTTTCTTGATTTTTATTTTATTTTAAATTTTGATATTGTTTTTTTTTTAATCTGATTTTTTAGAATTTGAAGAATTCTATATTTTGAAAATTTGATTTCGTTTTTTATTTTAATTAATCTAAAACTTGATTTCTTGAGAAAAAAACCGTTTTACGTAAATTTTGAACTTGTTTTTGGTGTGTTTTTCTATATCTAAAATATTGTTTTGTTGGTGAAATAAGTATATTCAATTCTGAAATTTGTTGATATATATGGATAATATGAGATCATAAAATCTTTAATAAGGATTTCTTAAGTTTAGCTTAAATATGATTTTAAAAAAACACACTTGAATACGGAATATAAATTGAAGAGAGAGGAAAATATAGAACTGGTATTAATTATTGCAGTTTAGACTTTTAATTACATGTTTTGATTTTTGGGTGATGTATATTTCTTTTGCTACAATTTTTGACAACAATATATAATATGCATTGTTTTACAATCAGATTTATTCTTCCCGAATTTATACCCGTTGGATACTAATTTTATACATTTTTATATTTTGTCTTTGTTCTAAAATTTTAAGTTGGATACCAAGTGTATATAAATTGGATAAAATATTAACTTGTTTTAGATTGTCTAATTTGATTGAAATATCAGTTACATTTTGTTTTTTTCATTTTCAATTGGGATATTTGTTGGATACCAATTGAATACAACATTAACTTGTTTAGGTTATCTAATTTGATTGAAATCTGAACCACAAGTTGATTTTTCAATTTTCCAATGGGATATCAATTCAATACTAAATTTATACAAATTGGATACAATATTAACTAGTTTTACGTTGCCTATTTCAGTTGAAATCTCAATTACATGTTTTTTTTTTCAATTTTACCACTGGTGACGTTAGTTGGATACCAAATGTATACCAATTTCATACTAAGATTTGACTTAATTTTTTCAGTCAATATCAATCGCATACAAACATTACCTATTTTTTGAGTATACATTTGAGAAACACTGAATACACAAATGATTAACTACCACACATAATAAATATTCTGAAATTATAATTCATTAACTTAAAAGACAAAATAAATCAAAACATGAGTTTGCCACCATAAAACAACCAAATAAAAATAAAAATAAATTATGTCTTTTTTTCAGAAGGGTAATTTGAACATGTCTTCCTATTGTGTTCCTCCCGACGACATATACTGCTCGTAATCTTAAACCTCTTGAATTTCACATCAGCAAATCATTTACAAGTTGTGATCTCCGTATAGTTCTTTTTGAACCATGCGACAATAATTTCTGCTCCGACACTTTTTGAATTGCATATTTTTCTGTTTCATCATAAATTATTGTGTCAATATTATATCATACAAAAGTACAAATAACTTTTATACATATGTTATATCAATATACAAATTTCATCCCATTTTTATGCTTACAAAATTCATACAAAACTTAAAAATACATATGTTATTTTAAAACAATTTCATGTGTTATTACAGAATACAAAAGTAAAAACACATATGTTATATCAGTATACAAATTTCATACAATTCTTATTCACACATTTCTTACATATTTCATGCCAAACGTTATCAATTATTCATATTAGGATCATGCCACTAGAATACCAAAATAATTCCAACTTAGAAATATTAATTTTCATTTCTTTAATAAACAGTATACCAAATTCATTACATTATTATTCTCAATATTCATTACAATATAATGCCAAAAAAAAATCCAATCAAACCAAAAATCGTACGAAAACATTATCGATTGTCATACATGCTTGGTAGTATAAGTATACAAATTCCAAAGAAAAAATTATCTATTTTTTTAACCATAAAATATACCAAAAAAAAAATGCGTCAGACAAATAATGAACAAATTCAATGTTCATACCAAAATATAACATTATACATTTTTAAAAAAACGCCATAATTCAAATTATTATACACAACAAAAAATCTGAAATCAGTATACAAATTTCATATAATTATTATGCACATTTTTCATACCTATTTCATGCCAAAACTATACCTATTTCATTAAATAAGTCGTCACTTTTTCACAGCAGAATCATGCCACTATAATACCAAAATAATACCACTTTTAACTATTAATTGTCATTTATTAGACAAATAGTATACGAAATTCATTCAAATATAATTCTAAAATCGTACCAACTTGGTATAACCAATATACCAAATTCAAATAAATTTTATGTAATTTTTTAACCAGAAACATATAAAAAATGAATGTTCAAATAAAAATCTATACCAATTTCAAACAAATTTTATGTAATTTCAAAAGTGAATATTCATACCAAAAATGCCATAATTAAAACTATTATTCACAAACAAAATCTGAATAATTTTTTTTCCAGAATCACTGTTCATATTTTTTTTGAACGTTTGATTTGTATTACAATACAAATAAAAAACCGCAAAGAAACACTAACCTGAAGGATCCCATCTACCACTATGTTTTATTAATACTAATAAGATGCCGTTCAGAAAATAAAGATTATTGAATAAAAACGAATATGAATTAGATGAGAGTGACAAGATTTCTAGAAAAAATCGAAGAGAGAGAAACTGAAAGAAAATGGATGAAATCAGAATTTTTAATTAATTTTAACAAATTAGAGTGAAATAAGGAAACTAAATATTCTTAATTAGTTTGAATTTCCTTAATTTATGCTAATTAGTAATTATCTTCAATCAATTCAAATTTAATTAACACATTTATTTCCGTTTTTTTACTTTTTTTTTTCAGAAACGAATTATTTTATTTTTTTATCTTTTTATTTTTTTCAAATTTTTTATTTTACAATTATTTAAAAAAAGCTTTTTTTTAAGAAACTGTTACAACCTGAAATATTTTATTGTTACAACTTGAAAATTTAATTCTACTGCTATAACTTGAAAATATTAGTCTAATATATGTCATATATGAAATTTTCACCCTAAATAATCCACAAAATGAGAACATGCATAAATGCGAAGTTGCCAAATTGTGTGACTAATTATCCATAAATAAATTAGATTGATGTTAGTTGGACTTTCCTTTTATAGACAATTGTAAATTAGATCACTTAAGCACGTATGGAACATAAATTTTAAAACACCTTATTATATTTCCGGAGGTTTAGGCTATCGTCTCCCTCTATTTGTTTTCTATGTATATATATCTTAGATTAAATAAAAGGTTTACACCATCAAAAGCATAAAATTTACATTTTATAAAAAAAAAAAAAACAAGGAAGAAAAAAAGATTAACACTCAAAAACCAAATTAATCAATAGAATTATAGAAAAAGTATTACAAGGTGAGATTAACATAGAAACATCCACACTGGAAAAAATTTAAAACTGAATACAAAAACACATAGTAGTAACTTTTATTTATTTTAGGCAGTCCATAGAAAGATAGCTACCTAAAATAGTAGATAAATTTAATTAGTGGTGGTGTCCTCCCTCAGCAGCCTTTTTTTCTTTCTTGGCATCTTTTTTCTGATGATGTTCATGGAATGCAAATCCACCTGCCCCAACTGCAGTTACTGCTGCTATTTCTTGTTTTATCTTGTGTTTGTGTGCATTCTCTGGGTCTTTCTTTGCCTTGTGCTTCTCATGCTATATATTTATATTTATTCAACAACAAATGAGTTAAAAATTGAAGAAAAATAAAAGAGATAAAATACACTTCTTATTTATATATATATATATATATATATATATATATATATATATATATATATATATATATATATATATATATATAAAGTGCAGTGTCATCCAAGGTATTGTACATGCATTTTTACTAACATATATACGTACGTCTCCGCCTCAAATTATCTGTCATTTTTTTACTACTTTTCGAGATTCAAACTTGAAAAGAAAAAGTAACGATTATTTAAAACAAAGGGAGTATATGACATTAAAAAAGTTATATGATCACTTTAGACTTGGAGCAAAATCATTAGTCCAAGCATATATATCCCACATATAATAGTACCCCCTACATATCCTATTTTAAATAACTGGACACATAATTTAAGAAATTAAAGAAAACTTATGACATGTTAATGAAATATTGTATATCGATGAACATATATTTACGTACCAAGGCGTAAGCACCGGCAGCAACAGCACCAAGTTCACCAATTTTCTGGAGATGGCTATGGTGCTTCACTTTTTTTTCATGATCAACTGGACCACTTTCTTCCTCCTTGTTCTTGTGGTGGAACAAACGGTGATGTTGTTTCTCTTCAGCCATATTATATTGCTTCACTAAATTAATTGTTGATAAAACGTCGATAGACAATTTGTGCTTTGATATTTTGTTTTTCTAGCTAGTCCATTATTTATAGGCTGATGAATTGTAATGTCCAAAAATATTACGTAGTTGGCATGAAGGATGTAAAAATTCGTCCATGAATTAGGTGGCACGCGTTCAATTTAATTTTTTATATATCATCTTGTCATAGAAAATTAAATTTGACTTCTTCTGGAAGTATACACTATTATTAATTAATTAATTACTTGTGTGAACGTTAAAAATTTGAAGAATTATTTCGAACTAAGTGGGGGCTTAATTTTGACTGGTGGATGCTATTATTATTAAGATAGGTGCTTCTGAGATTTTAGGACCTAATCAAACAAGTGGATATAATTATCAAAGGAAAATATTAGTTTGAAAATTTCCTTTTGTTGTTTATTAAACTAAGAAAACAGATAACGCGTACATGGTTGGGCATTTCCCTTTCCAAACTTTTTTTTTTCTGTCTGCGTGTGGGGCAGAATATTCATCGATCGACATTTCTGGGCAGAATATTCATCGATCGACATTTCTTTTAAAGAAAGTAATAATATTTTTATCATTTTCTTCGTTTTAATTAATCATGTGATATTGATTAACTAGGTGTTAAATGAAAGAAAGAAAGATTTTTTTTGAAATTTGTGATCTAAATTTTAGAACAAGTCTTAGACATTTGTATTACTATAGATTATCAAAGTAATAATTTTTAAAGTTAAAGCTATTTACTCTAAATACAAGTACTATTGAAAAATAAATGAAGAAAAAGTAAAAGTTCTTCTGAGACGTAGATATTTTGATATATTGTAATATAATCTTCACCGATTCAATAACAATAATCATTTTTTACAAGTGGTGCAAGCGAAAAATTACTTTCTTTAATTTTGATTTATTGTGATATCACTAGTGTTATTGGTATGGCTTAAAACTGTTATTATAATAGTGAATTAAGATCTATGAGGGAAAAATAACATTGTGAGATCATATTTGACATGTGATATCATTAATTTTAATTATGTCAAATCTTGTGATAATCTTACAGATTCACTAACTAAGTTCATAAGAAGATAAAGAGTTTAAACCACATCGAGGGGGATAAATTTAAAACTCAATTTTTTTTGAGTCATATATGAAGAAACTCAATCTGGGTTCTAGAGATCCTATAATTACCTTTAATGGAAAATGACTTATATGATAACTAGTTATGTATGGACTTTTATTATTCTCTTCCTCTGATGTGAGTGTATTTATCCTGTAATGATCTATGAAGGTTGAGTTTAAAAATTCGTGATGAAATTTATATATTGTATGAGTGGAGTGTCAAAATTATAGGAGCATCATTGTCAAATTTCACTGATATGACTGTAAAAGTTGATCGCTTTCTATGAGAATGAGCTTGTCCGAATTGAGTTATTATATTTTAAAGGGGACAAGTAAAAAGTTATACTGCTAGATCGGTGAAAATTATACTGCAGTGAATTTGAATTTCCTTAAAGATTGTGAGATATCTGCGGCTCAGTGGAAATATTTATTTATTCATTTTTGTTCATTTTATTTTCAACGGTAATTATAATATATTCACCAACAGATTATTATCACTTAAAAGGATAATTACAAACATGATATTAATTCGAATTTGCGCAGGAAATTCCACTTTGGAGGAGTAAAACTAGCATTTCCTATTAAAGATTAATCTATTATTAAAATTTAAATTTAAAATCTCTAATTAAGAATTAAAAATTATTGAAGTTCAATAGCTATAAGTATGTTATTTATAAAAAATGACTACAATTTATATCTTTTTCTAGCTGTATTTCTTTATATATTTTTATTTTTCTATTTATACGCTAATACAGTTTTAATTACAATGAACTAAATAAGGAACATGTATTAATTGTGTAGCATATGAATACTTTGAATTCAAATTGATATCTCTATTTATAAGACTTAAAGTATTAATATATCAAGGATACAAGTATTTATAAAAACTTAATGTATTAATAGATCAAACAAGGTAAAGTATGACAATTAACATATGAACATGACAATTTGAAAAATGAATACATTGTTGTTATTAAAAAAATGAATACAATATAGTATATATATATATATATATATGAATACATTGTTGTTGAATAAAAGATGGATACAATGGACAACATAGAAACAAGAAAAATGGAAAATAATAAAATGTGTAGGTATCAAAGTGTGTAAGTATTCGCTTGTATAAAAAAATTGATAAATCCAACAAACGTCAATCTCTTTTTGGTCAAGTTTTTTCTGTAATACTTGAGATTTGGTGTTAACTCATGTATTTGTTTATAAAAAATATAGAATTAATGTATTCAATTATACTTGTATTGCCTAATCAATCTTTTAAATTGGATAGATTACTTATGTATCCAGATATACTTGTATGTACAAATCACCATTTCAACTTGTGTTAATATTACAATACAAGTATCTATGTATATAAGTATTCTACTATATACAAATTTGACAATCACACAAATCCCAATTTCTTTTTGCTCGTGTTCTTCCTTTACTATTTTTTTTGTATAACTATAGCTATTGTAATGGAGAAAGCAAAACAATTCTTCAATCGAACCCCTATATATAAAAATAGATGAAAATATAGATGGATACAAATATAATCTTCATAAAAAAAAGAGAAAAAATCAATTAAAAGATACTTGATGAAAATTCAAATCACAATCACACAAACCTCAATCTCTTTTTGCTCATGTTATTCCTTTACTACTTTTTTTTTATAACTATAACCATTGCAATGGAGAAAATAAAATAATTCTTCAATTGAACCCCTATAAAAATAGATGAAAATATAGATGGATACCAATTCAATCTTCATAAAAAAGAGAAAAAAAATCAATTAAAAGATACTCGATGAATTCAAATCACAAAAATTGCTCCTAGAATCATCAAAAAGATCTTAAATTGGAAGGAATATGGGAGGAAAATATTGAGAATATGTGATATAGGAATATTGATGAAAGAGAAAGTATTAATGAGGATAAAATTGAAAAACTGACCACATAAAATGTGCCTAGACATAATTAATTATCCTTGTGATAATAATTTTCCTATTTAATATTTAATAACTTTCCTGATTATTTGTATATAATTAACTTTGCTATTTATTGTATAGTTATATCCATATAACATAAATATAATAAACTATAGCTATTTGTTTTAAATATATATTGATGTTTGCCATATTCTGTAGTTTTTCCTTAAAAAAATTACTTACTATCCTACCATAATCGTCTTATTGGTTAAAGTTCTTATCTTTAAAAAGGCCCATTGACAATAGTTGTGACTTTGGCCTTTGGTTTGTGGTTGCTCTCCAACCCAATGTTTTTGGACATTTGTTTTCTTCAAATATCACTTTAGAAATTAGATTTGAACTGAAGATATGTCATCATTTCGTTACAAATTTGATCATCGTAAAATTTTGTAACAGGAGAATAGAATTGTCATATCATCACAAACTGTCACACATTAATATATATTTTACCATAAATTTATGATAAATTCGTTATACACGCGTATATCATCAATAAGTTAATTTGGGGTTATTAAAAAAATGATTTTCTTATCCAGTTTTCAATCACCATCGCATTTTTCCTCTATTAAGTGGGAGCTACATAATTAGATGGCAAAAATTGTTAATCATCCACCAAAATATGGAATTACTTAGCTATTAAGGCTAACAGCACGTGGCAAAAGAGAAAAACAAACATAATGACCCTACTACAAGATGAAAATGTCATGTATACGTAACTGTCATTCAAATCAATCTTATCATAGGCGAATTTAGGATTTTTTTCAAATATGGGTACATCCAGGAAAATGTATTAAGTTGGAATTAATCCAAATATGGATGCACCAAAAAAAATGTATTGAGTGAGAATTGATTCTTAATCTTCAAGGTCAAAAGCCCAACATTTAACCATGTGGATCAGATAGACTTCTTATAGTACGGGTGTCAAAATATAATAATATACAAATTTTAGAAAATATATACATAAAATATTAGTTTAACGAAGAGGCCAAGGGTTCCGATGCCCTTATTTTTACCTTTAGATTCGCCACTGCGCGTATGAATTCGAATTAGCCAAAATGTCAATATAAATATTGAACAAATGAATAATAATAATATATTCAATGTAATCCAAAAAAGTAAAATTTGAAGACAATAAAATGTATGCAGATTATATCCATACCTCAGAGGTAAAGATGTTGATCTGATAGACCTTGACTCAATAAAAAACAAAAAACAGTAATGAAAGTATAAGAATCAACAAATAATAACAAAAAAAGAAACGTAATAAAATAATACACCAGACGAAATATAAAAATTTACACTCAAAAAGCAAATTAATCCATAGACGAAGTATTACATGGTGAGATTAACATAGAAACACAAAATCAAACACTCTGAAGGGAAACAAATACACATAGTAATATCTTTTATTTATATTAGACAACATGGAGTCCATGGGTGCCTAAAATAGTTAAATTTGATTAGTAGTGGTGTCCTCCCTCAGCTTCTTTTTTCTCTTTCTTGGAATCTTTTTTCTGATGATGTTCATGGAATGCAAATCCACCAGCACCAACTGCAGCTACTGCTGCAATCTCTTCCTCTATCTTGTGTTTGTGTGCATTCTCTGGGTCCTTCTTTGCCTTGTGCTTCTCATGCTATATATATATATTTATTCAACCACAAACAGAGTAAGAAATTAAACAAGACTTGTAACGTATAAAAAAAATATCATAGTATATTGACTATAGAATATATGTTATTATTTTCGTACCAAGGCGAAAGCACCAGCAGCAACAGCACCAAGTTCACCGATTTTCTCGAGATGGCTGTGGTGCTTCACTTCTTTTTCATAATCAACTGGTCCACCCTCTTCCTCCTTGTTCTTGTGGTGGAACAAATGGTGATGGTGTTTCTCTTCAGCCATATTATATTGCTTCTCTAAATTAATGTCAATTTACAAATGGTTGATAATTGATATTTTGATCACCAAAATGTCCATTATTTATAGCTGATTAGTTGTATAGACAATGTCCAAAAATATTAGCTAACGTGAGTGATGAGAAAATGTTGTGAAAGGGATTTCTATATATTAGGTGGAGCCTTCAATTATGATATTTTTTTATAGTATAGTTTGATTTCATCTGGATGTAAATATTATTAATTAATTACTTACTTGTGTGAGCGTTAGAAATTTCAAACAATTATTAATAGTTTATTTCGAACTAAGTGAGGTTTTGACTGGTGGATGTTATATCTGTTAAATGTTAGTTTGAAAATTTCCTTGCGTTTACCTAAATCAGAAAACAGATAACATGTGGTTCGGCATTTCTTTTTCAAATTTTTTTTTTTTTGTGTACGTGTAGAAGAAGAGCTGGAATTTAGAAAGAAAAAAAATAAGGGAAAAAGGAAAAGAAAAGTGCATTTTCTAATGACTAACGCCTAATATAAACATATATGATAAAAGAAAAAAATTAAGAAAAACTAGGTAACTAAGCAAACATAAACATAGCTACAATGTAAATATACATATATAATCTGACATACTTTTAAAAAATTGTCTAACATAGCTATACTTAGGATTTTATAGCAAATTTTTCCTCTCTCTTCCTTTGATCGCTCGTCTCTCTTTCCCTCTCCCTTTCTCGCTATGCTCTCTATCCCTCTCTACAATTAATATCTTGACATGACATACGTTTTCTTTAATAAAAATTAATACTTAGACCTAACCCAACATACCCTAGATAAACGTGAGTTCTTGACTTTACTTCATTGTTAAGCATTGGGGATTTGCGTTCTTCACTAAACTACTACTAAAAATAGAATTAACATTTGTGATCACACTCATAACTGATTTATTTAGCAGGGACTAATCTTCTCATCTAATTAAAGATTAAATTCCACTTAACCTATTAAATGACAGAATGAACCCCTGGCATCTCAAATCAATGGCCAAAAATGAATTGTGTCATTGCATTTATTCAGTTCAATATGTCAAAAAAGGTACTACTATGCAAAGTTAAGTGGCATGGAATGCCCAGAAAATGAGTTTAGATTTCATTCTATTTATCATGTAGCCAACAACTTAAAGACTGTTAGACACACAATTGGGATTTGTAGGCAACCAATGGCTTAAGTTAACTGTTTAGAATACCTTCGACACTAAGAAGACTTTCAACTTTAGACATGAGTGGCGAATTAGGACCAAAACATACATTTGACAGAAAAGCTCCATAGATTAAGCAGTGAATACAAAGCAGGAACAATTTTACCCGTATCTCGTTGTGATTATCTTCTGCTTCCAATCCAGAATCTGTTTTGTCTGCACTAGGACTTGTTGCATGAGTTGCAAAGTGACTAAAAGATGGCATCCTACTCCCAAGCCATCTAAAGTTAATGGGATCTTCAACTACTTTCAAGTAACCACCTTCCTCTGTGAGGAAATACCAGATTTTTGGTGTTGTATCGGTAACACAACTCAAAAATTGGCTAGTTACATCAACAAATTCTGCATTTTCATCATGACAATCTGCAAATTTATATCTAAACCTATCAAGCAGTGAGCATTTGCCACAAATTTGATACGACGAAAATGAAAATTCCTCAATGTGTCTTCCCATTGAAAGTAACTTCCACACGGAGCTTCTGACAAGACTTAGTAGAGTCTCACCAGCAGTCGTCCAAAAATTTGACACAGGCACAATGAGAGAAGACTCAGATTCTAATAAATGCTGGGTGGCACCTGCAAGCAACAAGGCATATGCTGCACTCGCTCTACTCATATTAAAAGCTTCAGTTTGATGTTCATCACCTTCGGGGTCTAGGGCCAGCAGTTCACTTACAGAGACTTTATATGCAGAAACAAGTGTCATGTAGGCATGCAAAGAGACATGGTGAAGAGGGTGTAATCTGAAGAGCTGATGTAATTTTTCTCCATTAGGCATTAGAAATACGTAAACATGATCTAGAGTAAGCAGGATCTCGAGTTTTTCACAACAACTCTTGGGGTCATTACATGACAGGAAGACATCTATAGCGTCATTCAAGCAATCCATCAGCTTCTCCATTACATGGTCCTCATAAAAGTCGTCACCAGAAGCCATATTTGAACAATCAAAATTTAAAATTAAGGTTTCCTACACAAGAACATTCACAATAGATGTTAATGATCTTAAGACTTAGATACGCCATAATTCTTAGGAGAAGAAACAAGAAGAACAATGATCTTAACTCAGCTTGATTAGTTCAAAACAGTATTCGGCATAAAAGAACACAAAAACTCCCAAAAAATAAAAGAACAAATGAACAATATGATGGAAAATTACAAGAGAAAATATATAAACCAGATTTCTTAGCAGATTGTTAAACATCAGCCTGGAAGTTTTTGGGCTATTTTTAATTTTCTTATTGCTATTGAAATTGATGATATACATAATGTTCATTGACCTAGAAAAGGCATAAGGCATATGACAAAGTTCCAGGGGAGGTTCTATGGAGATGCTTGGTGGATAGAGGTGTTCCTATGGCATACGCTAGGGAGATTAAGGACATGTACGATACAGACAAGACCTGAGTAAGGACAATGGGGGGAGATTCGGAGCATTTCCCAGTCGTGATGAGGTTGCACCAGAAAGTAGGATTTTTTTTCTCGCAGTCTCTTGTCCTACTATTTCTGTTACTCCTTGTTATTTCTTGTGACCAGACCCCACTAATGGGATTACACTGGATATGTTGTGGTCCTGCTATTTTTTGTGCTTCGGTTATCACATTCTTCTATTGTTATTGCTCCTTGTTTTCTGAAACTTTGTAATATTTTTCCTATTATTTGATATGTCCTATTACTTCTGTATTTTTTTCTTTTTTTGACTGCTTTGATGTGCGTTTCTCGAGTCGAGGGTCTTTCAGAAACAGTGTCTCTACCTCCACGAGGTAGGGTAAAGGTATGCATACACTTTACCCTCTCCAGAACCCACCTATGGGATTACACCAGGTATGTTGTTGTTGCTATTGATGATAAACACCTTGATAGGTTCTTAGTCGGTTGGTCCAATCCTAGATGTATCTTCATGTCTTAGCAGATATTGGGAATTTTAAAAACCTTAACAAATTTTAGAGCTGAATATAAATTGCTGTTTTTGCAAGTTATTTCAACAGTTACTCCATTCAAGTCTCGACCTACCAGGGTTTAACACCTTAGTTTCTTTGAAACAACATTTATAAGTCACCTCTCATCTGCATGATCATCAAACTTTCATCTGTCTATCAACTGTGGGCTAATCCTTTCACAATCTAACTGCATTCTGATTGCCATCACAATTTGATGTCAGACCAAATTTAAGGAGATTAAAAGACAATATGCTGAAACAGCAATGGCAGTAAAGTCAAAGTAATGAATGAAATAAACCTCCAAATTACAACTATTTCATTGTCAATTACCAAAAATAGATCATAATAAAAGAAAAAATGCTCCAATTACTAGATTACCCACTACAACTCGAATTAAAAGGAATATGCTGTAATTACTGAACATAAAATTTATAAGGTATAAATAATCAAAGGGGTGAAATTGGAATCATTTTAAGTAAGAGCCTACAGTTGGACGAACATGATGGTTTTACAATTTGACTGTACATCACTTATGCATACCTTCTAACCAATGTTCTCAACCCATATGCTGTTACCTGCAGACGATGATCTATATAAGTCGTAGGCATTGCTCTACATCGTTTACAGCAGCAACTGAACCCGTACTTCGACCCCAACTCTGATTGCCCCATCACCTGGAAGACAAGTTAAGTTACATGAGAAAGGAATTAGATTTCACATGAACTGGAACTGATTGAGTTAGAACTTTTTTTTTCTTTTGAAATTTAACTTGTTTAACATAGGACATCATTAAAAATAACTTGCAGAACGTAGCTGTCATCATCAATATATACTGGATTTGAAAATGAACAACAATTCTGGTAAACAATCTAAGCAACAACTCAAATTCTGGTACACTCAATGACCGCATCAATCTCCTAAAAAAGGCCCCAAATTCCTTCCCCAAAAATAACATCATTGACATGTCCCCGCACCGGGAATGACTGGTACTGATGAGGAATTGGTCTGGCCAATGCTTGATCAATACTCTTGTTCTTCATCTCTGTTTCGCCATCTATTGGGAGATACCCAAACCAAACTTTACTCATTTGGCAGAAATTTGGACAGGCTCGACAATTCTTTCAAAGTGTTTCCCCAATCCGAAACCTAGTTCGAAGCCGTTCTGGAGCATAACAATAGCAATCATCTTGTACACATAAGGCATATAAGGCTGTGGAGCCAAGTCATCACCGGTGGCATTTACCAGCTCCACCGTGTAGAAATCACAACCTTGAGAGATATCATCAACGATCGGTGAATACCCATTGAAATGACTCCCTTCACCATAAATGACCAATTTTTTGTCCTTCCAAACAAATTTCATTAGTTGGTGAAGGGTAGAAGGCACAGCCCCAGCCATGGAATAATTGGTCGTCCAAGAAGTAAATTGTAACTGGTGTTGATATCCGACACCTGGAACTCCACGTTGAATTACGCAGGACCCACCTGAATATCCAAGTTTACTACACCCAATGTGTTTCTTTGCACTCCATCAAAAGCCCTCACATTGACTTGGTTCTGGTGAAGCTTTCCCAGGTCAAATTTCAGTTGCCTCAAATTCGCAAGTGGGCAAACATTAAGATACGATCCGTTATCGACCAAGACGCAATTTATTATCTTATCTCGACACATAGTGGTGACGTGCAGAGCTTTGTTGTGCATCATGCCTTCAAAGGGCAACTCTTCGTCACAAAAACTGTTTCAGTGTCCTCGGATGACATGGTTTATCATGGTTGCTAGATTATCACTGTTAATACCCACAGACATATAAGTATCATCTAAAGCCTTCATTAGAGCCTACCTATGCAACATCGAACTCATCAATAAAGACCACACAGAGATCTGAGCCGACGTCTTCTCCAAATGCTTCACAACTGAATAATCTTTCGGTTGCATTTTTCTCCAGAACTCATCGGCCTCGGCTTCACTGATCGACCTTTTGTTTGGTCCTTCATCTGCACAACCTGGGTCTACTTTTCTGACGTGTAGCACCTGCCAGATCTGGTCATACTATGGGTAACATCCATTTCAATCACAAACTTTGGTCGGGTAAGAGTTTCTCGTGGCACCAAAGCAACAACCTCTTTGGGTGTCAGAATCACAAACTCCTTCTTCTCTCTAATGCTCAACAAAGCTACATCTCTTTCCAGTTCATTAGGAGCGATCGAAACTATTGACTTTGTCACACACCAATCATCATTTGCCTCTATCATATTGATAGTGACGTTTCCATGATTTGGCAAAGGATTACTATTGATTTTGGGCGCGGCTGTCTGAAGAGAGACCACGTTCTAGTCAATCAGGTCTTGGATCTTATGTTTCGGGTTGATACAGTCCTCGGTATCATGTCTAACACTATTAGAGTGATATATGCACCTCTAATTAGGTCTATAAGACTTTGAGCTAGTGTCAATTGGCTTGAGCCCCACTGAATAAATATATCATGTCGTAGTTAATCGCTCGAATAGCTTTGTTCGGCTTTCGATGAACGAAGTAAAATTTATGGTAGGCTTTTTCTCAAATCTAGGACGGGGGGGATCGTAATTGCCTTGTTGCGGAGGAGGCATTTGACGATAATTTGGGTCGTTTGAACGAAGGGATTGATATCTGGGATACGAGTTGGTTTGGTAATTCGGATGTGGAGCTAGGTAGTTCGAGGGGGTATTTTGGTAAAGTGGAGCTGGGGTTTGGTACATTGGGGAAGGAGTTTGATAGTTTGCTTGAACGTTCGCACAGTTGGGGACGACATTTCGATAGTGATGAGGTGGAGTTTGGTAAACTGGAGGGGTAGTGTTTTGATAACTCGGATGAGGGGTATTTTGGTAATCAGCCTATGCATAGCAAGCCAGGTACGAACTCTGTGAAGGTCGAGAACGACCTTGGTATGATGAAACTTTCATTGGGGTCTTCTTCCCCTCATAAGAGATAGAACACACATCTTCTCTTTTCTTCTTCAACAAACCCGAGGATCCGGGTGAGGCAGCAACACGGGAAATCTTCTCGGTTCTTAATCCATTTTCGATAGTCTCACCTACTTTGACTATCTCAACAAACTTTGCTCCAACGAGCTGCCTCCTTTCTCCACCTATATGCAAATTCTCGATAACTTTCATTTGATTTTTGCTTCATTTTTTCCAAGGAATAGCGATCAAGAATGATCTCCACATTGTAGGCGAATCACTCAATAAAGTCCTTGGCTAGAGCATTCCAGCTAGGCTATTGTCTGGTTTCATGAGATGTAAACCATTCCAGAACCTCTCCACTCAAACTTCGATTAAAAAGCTGAATTAATAAAGTTTCATATCATCCAACTCCCATGAGATGGTCACAGTAGGCCTTCAGGTGCGCTAAGGGGTTCTCTATTCCTTCGAAAACGTCAAATTATGGCACCTTAAATCCTTCCAAGAGGTCCAAATTCGGATGAATGCATAGATCTTCATAACTCAAATCGTCAACTTCAGGAATACACTGCAACTCTTTCATGGCCCTTCAGATCTCTTCTTTCATATCCAGTTTGACGGCCTCTTCCTTTGACCTCCACTCTCTTTCTCTCTCGCTCTTCATAGTGGTCAAGCTCAGAACCATTGGCGTCATGCTCATTAGGGACCGGGATTTGGAAAGTGGCTTTTTGACGTAGGGATGGAGCAATTAAGGGACTCTGGGCATTTTGAGGGGTTTGATAGTTTTGAGGGAAAGTCTGGGGGCTGGTGTACTTATTTTGGTGATGGAGGGAAGTGTACGGGTGGTTAACGTTTTGGTTTTGAGGGGGTGGACCAGTTTGGAGGTTGGCATTTTAGGGAGGAAGTGGCACTTGGATGTTGACATTTTTTAGGGGGTGGTGTTTGGTAAGAGGCGGAGGCATAATGGGGATTTTCGTTGGTTAAGTCGATGATTGAAGGATTCTGAGAAGGGCCGGAGGGTGGGTTTTGAGCCCGTTCTGCTTTTGAAAGAGAAAAGT